GGGAGGGGTTGGGGGGATGGCGGGTGATCTCTGAGGCAGGCAGGACTTCAGACTTTCTGGGTCCGGGCTTGTACGTGCAGGCCTGACAACCACAACCTTGCACAAAGGCCATCGCAACCTTACACAAGAAGTACTTCAGTAAGAACATGCATCCGGCAGCTGCCTGTGCGACCTTGCACTGGCATCACCCATGTTATTCATCTTTGTAGCCAAGCATAATTATTTCAAAACGATTATGTAACACTCCTCGTCTTTTCCGTTAAAGAGCTTACTCCCATTGCAATGCCTTATTCCAAAATCAATATCTTTTTCTTGTATATAACCTCTCTTTGTTCCTTATTTAGGCTGATACTATCCAAAAATACATAATTTTAACATGTTTTGTTTTGATATAGCTTCAAACTCACAGAAAGGCTGCAAGAATAGCAGTCTTCACCTGGATTTCCCAAATGTTTCTTTTTTCTTTTTCTTTTTTTTTTTTTTTTGAGACAGAGTTTTGCTCTGTTGCCCAGGCTGGAGTGCGATGGTCCAATCTCGGCTCACTGCAAACTCCATTTCCCAGATTCAAGTGATTCTCATGCCTCAGCCTCCTGAGTAGCTGGGATTACAGGTGCACACCACCACACCTGGCTAATTTTTTGGTAAATGCTTTTTGATTTTTTAACATTCCATATGGTTTTGTCTCTGAGAGGTAGAGCTGTTTCATTCACCACTCCTTCTCAACATCACTTCTTAATAATGTTCTACACTTTGCAAAGTTCTACAAGAAACAGACATGACTTTAACGAGTCATGTTTAAATCCGATTGAAGAAAATACTGAGGGGGGGATGTGGAAGTGGAGGTACAGACATGGAAGCTGGTGTGCTGCTCTCTGGAACAGCCCGTAGCCCAGGCTGGAATGCAGTGGCATGATCATGGCTCACAGTAGCCTCAGACTCCTGGGCCCAAGTGATCCTCCCCCATCAGCCTCCCAAAGTATTGGAATAATTGCCATGAGCCACTCCAACTGGACTATATTTTTCTTCCTTTTAAACTTTATACAATTTAATATTTGCAGTTTATTTGAACCATCTTCCAAAAAAGGTCCAGCCTTTACAGTCGGTTGGTACATTTCTTGTGATTCTCTCAATCTTTAGGTTCTTCTATATCTCTTTTAATTCCCTTGACTCCTTTTTAAAAAGAATTTAAATTGTTCTGTAGTTTCCCAAAGTTCAGGTTTTGCTACTGTCTCCTCTTAGTCTCTTTTAATGTGGTCGTCTGTCCTTTGCATTTTCTGTAAATTGGTGGTTCTACCAGCCAGCAGCAGCTGACCCAGCAGGTGACCGCAGATGCCTGAGGGCACCTGGCCGAGATCAGATCAGCCTGTGCTGATTGATTTTAGGTGTCAGCCTGACTGGATTAAACATCCAGATAACTGGTGAAGCATTATGCGTTAGTCAGGGTTCTCTAGAGGAACAGAACTAGAGGAATAGATATATATACATAAAGGGGGGGTTATTAAGCATTAACTCACACGATCACAAGGTCCCACAACAGGCCTCCTGCAGGCTGAGGAGCAAGGAGAGCCAGCTCGAGTTCCAAAAC